CTCTGCTCAGGCTTGGTTTTTCGAACTCCTGACGAGCGGATCCTCCACTGTCGGCCTCCCAGAGTGGCTAGGATTTCAGCGTTGGTCCACCAGGCCGGCCTCCCCAACTTTTTTTTTTTTGAGACATGGAGGTCTTGCTGTTGTCCGGCTTGAGCTGAGTGGCCGGCGTCGGATTGTCCTAGCTCACAGAACCTTCAAACTCCTGGCTCAAGCGATTCCTACTGCCCCTCAGCTCCCGGAGTTAGCTGGGGACTACAGGCATGTGCCACCGATGCCCGGGCTAATTTTAGGTAATTATTCAGTTGGCCAATTGAATTTCTTTCATAATCTGATAGTAGGATGGTCTTCGGCTCTTGTCAGGCCTGGGTTTTGAACTCCTGCACCTGTGGAGCCCAATCCGCCCGCCTTCGGCCTCCCAGAGGCTAGGTTACAGGGCGTCGAGCACCGCACCCGAGGCCTACCCCCACATTATTAATATGAAGAACTTTTCGATCTACAGCAAAGTAAAAAGGAATTTTTACAGTGGACTCCGCCCCACGCTAATTCTACCATACTTTTGCTGTACTCTTATCACACATCTGTCTGTATTCCATCCTTCCATTCATTCTTAATCCATCTAATTTTTGATGCATTTCAGAGTAACTTGCCAACTTCTGTAATCTTTCCCCTAAACATTTAAGCATGTTACATAGTTAACTGAGTCGCAACAAGTTTTTGTCGTATTTGGTAAATTAATGCTACAATGTGATTGAGTCTCAATTTAATTAAACAGTCACCTAAAACTTAGCCCAAGCCTACTAAACAGGAACCCTGTGTGTTATTGGTGACGTACATTTTGTGGGTCAGGATTTGGGAGCAGCTTAGCTGGTGGCCGTGGCTTCAGGCGCCTCCCATGGAGGTTGCAGTTCAGGAGTCAGGACGTGCCAGTCACCTGAAGGCCAACTGGTCCTTGGACGATTCACCCCTCACATGTCAGAGTACCCGTCACCCCATCCTGAGGCCAAAGTCTTCTTTCCCATCACAGCATCAGCTCAAGTTAGAATCTCTCATCGTAATTGCGGGTCCCAGGGTACAGAAAGGGCTCCACTGGCGTGCTGACCCCTTAAGTTTAGCTCTCAGGTACAGCTGCTACCGACGGCAAAGGAAAAGTGTGTGTCTGTCCTCGCACACCCGGCAGACCCGTAGGATAACTGCTGCGCGGACGCTTCCCTCGTGTTCACAACGTGACGAAACAGGTAAAGTCCGCGGAGTCACTGGGCCCGTAGCAATTTCTGAAATCCCTGCCAGGGATCATGCTTGGAATGTTTCCTGATTTGGGATTCGTCCTGCTCATTGCCAGAAGTGACTTTCCGCTGGCTCTTGGCTCTGCCTCTGGGGCCGTCACCTCTGTCCTCTGGGTCATCCTACCTTTTATGTTTGTACCCGTGTGGCTCTATCAGGTTTTTTCTTGCCTGTAGGAGTGAGAGGAGAAGGTTTCTTCTACTCTCGCAGTGTTCTGTCTCTGTCCGTGCCAGTCGCCAGTTGTCTGGTGGGTTCACCATAGGCAAAAGCTGTGCCCACAATTCTTTCACACCAGCTCTTCTCCAGCGTGGGCTTCCCGGAGGCAGCGGGACAGCCCCCACAAGCTGCTTGAAGGCTGGCTTCGACTGCAGGTCCCTGAGACACAGCCTGAGTCTTCTGTTCCCCACCAAGGATCGGCCACAGCCGGGCTTCATCTTACGCCTATGTTCCCGGTGGTTCTCTCTGCCCAGAGCCTCTTCTTAAATTTCATTTGCCACGTGCAGGAGGCCAGAGATGTCAAGGGCCATTACATCAAGTCCCGCTCGTTCTTGTTCAATGGCCCTTCCTCTAGCATTCTCTCCCCTCACGTGCACTCTAAGTGGCAAGAAGTAGCCAGGTGACACCTTCCAATGCTCCACCTGGAAGTCTTTTTGGCTACGTCACCCAGGTCATAAGGTGCATCTCCTGCTTTCCACGTTACTCGGGGAACATGTTAGGAAACCGCCCCTCTGTCACAAGGGTCCCACAACCCCGATGACATTTTCCTCACTTTTCTCTAAGCGCCTCCCCTTGCTGCCTCCTTGAAGGGCCCCGGGCTCCAACGAACAGACTCTGTGACTCTCCTCAGGATTTCTCTCAGATTCTTCTCAGAAGTCCTCAGGCTTCTGGCCACTGTCCCATCCCAAAGCCACTGCACATTTTAGGGTTTTGTGAAGGTAGCACCCCACTCCCAGAATCTGTATAATCTACTTACTGATTCATGACAAATTGCCCTAGACTTAAGGATATACAACAACAATAAACACGTATCAGCCCACACAGTTTCTCTGGGTCAGACATGTTTTGGCAGTGGCTTAGCTGGGGGATTGTAGACTCTCTCATGAGGTTGCAGTCAAGCTGTCAGGCAGGGCTGCAGTCGTCTGAGGGCTGGCCTGGGGCTGGAGGACCCCGCTCCACGTCACTCACGTGGCTTTTGGTAGGAGGCCTCGGCTCCTCAGCAGCTGTTAGTAGGACGCTTCCGCTCTTCACGGGGGGGACCTCTCCACAGGCTGCTTGAGCCTCCTCATGACATGGCGGCCACTGTCCAGGAAAGAGTGGCCCCAGAGAGCAAAGCAGAAGCTGCAACGTCTGTCATGACCCAACCTCAGGGGACAGACCCCATCATTTCTGTAATACCCGTGGTTACATAGAGAAGGTCTGTGATGGGCTGAATTATGTCCCCTCAAAATTCATATGCCGAGGCCCTAAGCCCCAGTACCACAGAGGAGAGTGTATTTGGAGATAATGCCTTTAAAGAGGTAATTAGTTAAAAACGAAGCGTTAGAGTGGGCTGTGATCCAGTCCGACTGCTGTCCTTGTCAGAGGAGGCTAGGGCACACCGGGGACGCACGGCTGCAGAGGAAAGACCACGTGAGAACACGGCCAGGGGGCGGCCGTCGGAGACTGCCCGGCGATGCTTTGCCCTTACAGCCTCTGGCCTGTGAGAAGACAACTCGCCATCGTTAAGTCGCCCGGGCTGTGGTGTTTTGTGGCAGCCGGAGCAGAGCACCATCAGCCCGCCAGATTGAAGAGGCTGGAGGACTGGCGAGGCGTGACGCCAGGACAGGATCGCGTGGCCGCCGGACTGCGCCGCACACGCCGAGAGCAACCAGGCCGTGAGTGGTACACTCAGGGCTCGTTGACAGTCATACACCGCCCGTAGCCCAGGGGCGCGCATGGTCCAGACACAGGTGTCTCCCGCCTGCCCGGAAACTTCCCTCATGCCCCTTCCCCCGTCAGTCCCAATCCATCCCTCTCTGGCTACTTCTTGCCACTTAGAGTGCACGTGAGGGGAGAGAGATGGGCTAGAGGAAGGGGCATTGAACAAGAACGAGCCGGGACTTGATGTAATGGCCTTGACATCTCTGGCTTCTGGACGTGGCAAATGAAATTTAAGAAAGAGGCTCTGGGCAGAGAGAACCCACCGGGCAACATGGTGTAAAGATGAAGCCCCGGCTGTGGCCGATCCTTGTTGGGGAACAGAAGTCTCGAGGCTGTGTCTCAGGGAACCTGCAGTCGAAGCCCAGCCTTCCAAGCAGCTTGTGGGGGCTGTTCCCCACTGCCTCCGGGGAAGCCCACGCTGGAGAAGAGCTGGTGTGAAAGAATTTGTGGGCACAGCTTTTGCCTATGGTGAACCCCAACAAGACAACTGGCGACTGGCACGGACAGAGACAGAGACGCTGCGAGAGTAGAAGAAACCTTTCTCCTCTCAAGCTCCTACAGGCAAGAAGAAAACTGATAGAGCCACACGGGTACAAACATGTGATGCCTTTCACATAAAAGGTAGGATGACCCAGAGGACAGAGGTGATGGCCCAGAGGGCAGAGCCAAGAGCCACGGGAAAGTCACTTCTGGGCAAGAGCAGGACCGAATCCCAATCATGGAACTTCCAGCATGATCCTGGGTGGATTTCAGAATTGCTACGGGCCAGTGACTCCCGCGCGTCTTCTGTTTCGTCACGTTGTGAACACGAGGAACGTCCGCAGCAGTTATCCTACGTCTGCCGGGTGTGCGAGGGACAGACACACACTTTTCTCTTTGCACTGGTAGCAGCTGTACCTGAGGAGCTAAACTTAAGGGGTCACACCCAGTGAGCCCTTTCTGTACCTGGACCCAATTTAGATGATGAGATTCTAAACTTTGAGCTGATGCTGTGATGGGAAGAGACTTTTGGGGGCCTCAGGATGGGGTGAGGGTATCTGACATGTGAGGGGGTGAATCGTCAAGGACCGGGCCAGACTGTGGTTGGTGGCCTCCAAGAGGACGGCCAATGATTCCTGCCTCCTGCTGTTCAGGCTCATGCGTGGTCCCCTTCTGCACTGGACAGAGCTGACCCGTGGAACGGAACGGGTGCTGCTGAAAAGACAGAGTGACTTCCGAGGCTTGGTCAGTAGAGACACTGTCAGTTCTACATTGCTCTCTTGGATCACTTTCCCTGGAGGAGCCAGACGCCATTCTGTAAGGACACCCCAGCAGCTCTGCGGAGAGGTCCGCATGGTGAAGGACCTGTCCTGCCCCCAGCATGTGAGCGTGCCATCTTGGAAGAGGGTCCCTGGCCCCAGTTGAGCCTTCAGGTGACTGCAGTCCTGACTCTTGACTGCAACCTCATGGGAGGCCCTGAGCCACGGCCACCAGCTAAGCTGCTCCCAAATTCCTGACCCCCACAAAATGTATACCATAACACACAGGGTTTTTGTTTATTTTAGGCTGCTAAGTTTTAGGGTGACTGTTTATATAATTGATGACTAATACACATTGTACATTAATTTTACCAAAATAGACAAAAACTGTTAGACTCCAGTTAATAGTATACATGCTTAAATGTTTAGGGGGAAGATTACAGATGTGTGCAAGTTACTCTGAAATGCATCAAAATGTAAGATGGATTAATGAATGAATGGAAGGATGGATAGACAGATGTGTGATAAGAGTACAGCAAAATGTATGGTAGATTTAGGTGGGGGGAGTCACTGTAAAATTCTTTTTACTTTGCTGTAGATCTGAAAATTTTCATATTAAAATGTTGGGGGAGGCCGGGACTGGTGGCTCACGCCTGTAATCCTAGCACTCTGAGAGGCCGAAGTGGGAGGATCGCTCAAGGTCAGGAGTTCGAAACCAGCCTGAGCAAGAGTGAGACTGTCTCTACTATAAATACAAAAAAATTAATTGGCCAACTAATATATCTAGAAAAAATTAGCTGGGTATGGTGGCGCATGCCTGTAGTCCCAGCTACTTGGGAGGCTGAGGCAGCAAGATTGCTTGAGCCCAGGAGTTTGAGGTTGCCGTAAGCTAGGCTGACCCCATGGCACTTTAGCCTGGGCAACAAAGTGAAACTCTGTCTCAATAAATAAATAAATAAATAAATAAGTAAATAAATGTTGGGGGCAATGGCTGAGTAATTTCTTAACATGGGTGGTAAGTACATGGGGCTTCATTTGATATGATGATGATGATGATGAAGATGGTGTAAACTGTAGACATACATTTCATTTACTTTTTAGTTTGTATATGTCACAATAATAAGAGACCTGGGGACTCAGAGAGGTCTGGTGCTGGGACAGAGGGGACAGAGAATGGGACCTTGACCCCAGAGGTCAGGCAAGAACCCCAGGAATCATGCCTGGCCCGCTACTCTGCCTGTGAGGCTGCTGGGGTCCAGAGGACAGTGACAGACGGGACGTTTCCTCCCCAAATGCCAGGAGGCTTTCACGGGGGGTGGAAGGCTGTGCCTGCCCCACAGGGACCAGGCTGGGGCAGGCAGTCACTGAAATAACCAGCCTTCGATGTGATGGAAAAGCATCCCTTAGACTAGACTGAGTACATCTCCTCTGGGGAAGTCATTTTCCTTAATAAGCCTCAGTCTCCTCTCACATGGAAGATGATAATAAAAATTTTTAAAGCTCCTAAGGCTGTTGTGAGCAAAGGGGGATCTCAGTTACCGATATTTCTGCACATCTGAGTCAGAGTGCGTCTGCTTAGACCCCGCTACACACTCACACGCATGCACACACGCATGCACACACGCATGCGCACACGCATGCACACAAGCAGGTGCACGCTCCCCGCAGGGGTGCTGCTGTGAGCATGTGGGCACAGCCCAAGTCCGGGGGTAATATGCACCTGCAGGTCAACAGAGGAGACCTGGGCGATAAGGATTATAGCTCATTTTTATCTGTTTTCTTACTCTCTTTTTATCCTGAATCTTTAAAAAATAATTGACTATGTTCTGCTTTTATAATCAGAGAAAATAAGCAAAAAACAAGGCCCATCCTCATGGCTAGAAATCCACCCCGTGAGCCACCAGCGGAAGCACGACATACCTTGCTTGATGGGGGTCTTGCGGCCGTTGTCCATCACGAAGGAGAACATCTTCCCGCCGGTGCTCACGGGCCGCCCGTGGGAGGAAGGCGAGCCCATGGTGGGCCTGGGGAAGCCCTGGGACCAGCTCCTTTGCACGGGCGATGGCCGGATGCCCTGGTGGAAGGGAATATGCGGCGGCGAGGGGGTCTTGCTCCGCTGCTGTGCGGTCCAAGCTGGCTGTGGCCTGGGCCATGGTACTTGGCCCCTTATCCACGGGAAGGAGACCTGCAGGGGCACAGCAGAGGGGCAGGGGGGGTTACGGTCTGCTGAGACGGTCCCCACTCCTTTGCCCCAGCCACACAACTGCTGCCCGAGGTCTCAGCTTTTGAACCACTTCCCCCAGGAAGCCTTCCTGGACTCTCAGGTTTGGGATGGTGGTCCTGGCATGGGTCACACAGCAGATCATCACACCACCATCTGTGGGTGTGTCCTTTACCCAGGCACCTTGCCAAGAGAGTCATGCGTATTAATGAATCATGAATCATTTAATACACCCTATACTGTGATGACACAGGCTGGGAAAGACCAAGTGATTTTCCCAAGACCACAGATGTGGCCTTGAGCTGCCGAGCTGGGAGAACGTCCCCTCCAAGGGAGCAGGGACTCTTCACCTGTCTTGCTCACCCCTGTATGCTCAGCACCCAGAATGAAGACCTGGCACATACAGGGCAGGTCCTCAAATACTGGTTGAAAGGAAGAACAAACCAACGACTGAGACTCAAACCCAGCTTTCCGGGACCCCACAGCTTGTTCTCTCTCTGCCCACGCTGTGGGTCTCTCCGTCTGACCCCGGACGCTGAGAGCTCTGGGGTGGGTCACACCTGATCCTGGCAGAGGCCACACACCTATCTGCCGAGGGAACACTTAATGCTCTGACCCTGGGGAGGTGTTTGTAGCTACTATCAGCAGAGGGCTCCTCAAAATCCATCTAACCACGGGGGAGCGAGTGTGGAGAGGTGCTGACGCCGGGCTTTTGCCTTGGCTTAATGCTTTTAGTGGTGGTTTCTTCCTGGTGCCCCGGGGGTTAAACGATGACGACAATGAGCGCTGTCACTCAGTGCACTGAGCTTATCAATTCCTCACCGCAGCCCTTCAGGGAGGGTGCTCCTTACTCCCGTGTTAGAAATGAGGCTTGGAGGGGTGAAGGAATCTACCCAAGCACAGGTCGTGGTAGGGACAGAATTGGGATCAAGACCTGAAGGCCTCCCTCTCTCATCTTCTCTCTTTCCACCCCTGCCCCGCTCTCCTGCCCAATTCTCTTGGCCAAAATAACACTTTCCAAGTAGGAGCTACGTGCAAAGGTTTGCTGCCTATGCAGGGGCCATGCATCTATCTTCCCAGGGCCCACGGTTCTCCTTCTGTCGCCTGGAGAGAATGTGAGCTCAGACACGCATCAAGAAGAACAGGACAGAACATCCTATAACTGTGGTCGGGTTTGACTCAAGAGGAAGGTTCTCCACTCAGGCAGGATCCTGAGCCAACCTTTAAGCTATAGTCTTTCTACGGCAGGTCAAGGATCCTGTGCTTTTCCCCCAAAGACTCTTTCTCCAGGGCCCCACTTCTGTGGCGGACAGGCCAGAACCCACCCAGCATCCTTTGGAGACTCGGGGTCATCTCCCTCCCTCTCCAGCCCATTATTGTGGGCGGGGCTAGGCAGCAAGTCAATCATGTTACCTGGTCGTGGTGATTGGTTCAGAGGTGGGGCATGTGATCCAATCAGAGCTAAGGAGATCAGGCTGGACCCCAGATCTTTAGCCACAGGAAGGGTGTGGAGCCCAGGCATGGAGAGAGGGAAGCTGGCTTTTGTTTTGTGTTTTTAATTATAAAAAACACATAACATAAAATTTACCATCTTAGCCATTTTTAAGTGTACTGTGCAGTAGTAAGTATATTCAAATTGCTATGAAATAGATCTCTAGAACTTTTTCATCTTGCAAAAGTGAAACTCTATTCCCATTAAATAATTCCCCCTTTCCTCCTTCCCGGAACCCCTGGTAACCACCATTCTACTTTGTGTCCCTATGAATCTGACTACTCTTGGTACCTCATTATAAGTGGATTCATACAACATTTGTCTTTTTGTGAGTGGTTTATTTTACTTGGTGTGATGTGCTAGAGGTACATCCATGTTGTAGCTAGCGTGTGTCAGAATCCTCTCCTTTTTGAAGGATGAATAATATTCCATTGTATGGATAGACCACATTTCCACCTCTTGGCTACTGTGAATAATGTGCACATAGAGAAGCTGGTTTTGAGCTCTGGCTCGGGTCATACCCTGAACTGCTCTGTACTGTGAGGCCGATTAGAGCTGGTTTCTGTCACCTGTAGCCCCCATAGCCCTAACGATAGGATTTCTAAAGGAGATCGTGCATGATGTATAAATGCAGCAAAGACTGCAGTCAACTCTTTGGGTTCTAAAATTTAAAAACAAAGTTTTTTTTTTAAGCTTGCTGATTTAGGGTGGCTTTAGTGGGAAGGTTAAAGTTGGTCTTGCCTACTTAGAGCCCTTGCTCTACGTCATGGCCCAATTACCAAGGAGCAGTCAACGGTTTTCTGCTGAAATCCCTCTACCTACCACAAACACGAAACAGGCCAATGGGAAAACAAACATAAGAAAAAGATTCATATTAAAAGCTAATTCCTGGGTGTGCTCCTGTTAGAATGGAACATTGGAGGCTAGGGGGCTCAAGTCAGTTATCCTATTCTTTTTCTTCTTTCTTTATTTTGTAGACAGAGTCCTCAACTGTGTTGCCCGAGGTCACCGAGCTGAGCGGATGCGTCAGCGTAGCCACAGCAACCTCGACTACCCTGGGCTCAATGCCTCCGCTGCCTCGAGCCTCCCAGCTAGCTGACCCGCACCAGGCCAGTCGCCGCCACCCACGATGCTGCTAATTTTGTTTGTATATATGATTTAGTTGGTCAACTAATTTTGTTCCCTATTTTTTTAGCTCAGATGGGCGGGTCTCCCCACTGGTCAAACCTGACTCGGAGCAATCCACCCCGCGTTCCCGACCTAGCTCCAGTGCTAGATGACACGCGTGTGAGCCGACCACGGCCGGCGGCGCCGAAAGTCCATTATAACAATGTCCTGTTGTTAGAAACATTTAGTTGATAAGAAAGACCTGCTATGGCTTTTCTTCCTCTTCCCTTTTTTCCAGGCTACTCTGACCGCATATGGTGTAGTTGTGGACGGCTCTTGTTTGCTTGTTTGTTGAAGCAGCCAGTGACATTATGTCCATGATTGGCTTCAATACTATCTCTCACAACAAGCAATGTCCACGCCCACCTGGACAACACACTGCGATTGTCACTCAGCGAGCTTGAACCAAACACCGTCAATGATTACCTCAGAAAATCCACAATCTTTTTCCAGATTACTTGTCCCTTGTTTATCCGCAGTGACATCTGCCTCTCGCCTTGCCAAGACTGCAGGGTGAGGGAGACACCCTGCAGCACCAGGGCAGCTTGCACAGGAAGCCCTGGAGCCTGTGTGCGAGGCAGGCCTTGCCCTTGAAGAGCTAGTCGTGTTCTCTGCCGCTTGCGTCATTGTCACTGCCACTGCTGTGAGCCACCACGGAGAGAAGGCACATGGGTGCCAGACTGGGCCGTGCCCTTAAAATTGTGGACTCATCTAAGCATCAGAATAATTCTGGGTGCAGGAGGCATTTTTACCTTAACTCTGTGGGTTAAGAAATGGAAGCTCAGGCTGGGGGTGGTGGCTCACGCCTGTAATCCTAGCACTCTGGGAGGCCGAGGCGGGAGGATCGCTCAAGGTCAGGAGTTCAAGACCAGCCTGAGCAAGAGCTAGACCCTGTCTCTACTAAAAATAGAAAGAAATTAATTGGCCAACTAAAAATATATAGGAAAAAAAATGAGCCGGGCATGGTGGCGCATGCCTGTAGTCCCAGCTACTTGGGAGGCTGAGGCAGAAGGATCGCTTGAGCAGAGGAGTTTGAGGTTGCTGTGAGCTAGGCTGATGCCACGGCACTCTAGCCTGGGCAACACAGTGAGACTCTGTTTCAAAAAAAAAAGAAAGAAAGAAAGAAATGGAAGCTCAGAGAGGTTAAGTGACTTGCCCAGTGTCCTACAGCCAGGACGTGGTGATGCTGTTTTACCTCAAAACCTGTGCTCTTAGGGCTTCCAGGTTATTTGAACTCATGATTTACACTTGCTTCCCATACTCTCAAAGGATCTCAGACAATTGATTAATGAAGAATAGGAGATTTTTCTGAGTCAAAAAATGAAAGTAAGAAATAGCTGGTGTGAAAAACCACATGAAGTTGCATGGGCTGCTTGTGAAGAGGATTTTCTAGGGACGCTGCCCACTCCCTTATGCAAGTGTGGTTCCAAGGACACATACGGCAGTGCCCGGGGACCCTTTCGGAGGGCCGCGGGCCGCAGCCTCCTCCCAGGCAGGGCCGGTGGTGCACTCACCGAGGGGGAGCCGCGGCCTGTCTGCACTGGCTCACGAGAGCTCATTAGTAAATGCTCAGAATTTTGTGAGCTGGTTGATAAGCACAGCCATTAATAAAAATTAAAGTATGTATACTTACAGTTAAATTATATCAGAAACAACAGCAATACATACTTAAAACTTATCCCTTCCTAATTATTTTACTACATTTGATTATTATCTGTGCTTTCGTGGTTATTTACCCCTACTGTATTGTGTATTGGCCACACTGTGGAGTGATGCGCTACAATCAAGTGGTCTGGTCCCAACTCTGTTTGGGGACATTACGTTGTAGCTTGAAACTGGCCACCGTGGGAGTGTTCACACCCACCGTGTGTGAATCAGGAAATGCTATAAATCAAGATTTGTGATGTGTGAAATCAGGAGATGCTATAAATCAGGGCTTGATTTTTTGCTTTGTTGATTGTCTACACGTAAGAAGGTGATGGGGAAAATATTAATAACGCAGATGAAGCTTAAAAGTGTGTTGTGTCTGTAGCTGCTACGTTATGAATAGCACAAAAAAACTGAGTAAATGTTCTTCTAGTAAATGAAAATCGTCATCCGGCGTAGCAAAGACATCACTCATGTCATTGATGAACACATGAGGTTCCAACACGCCTCTTTCTTATTTCACTTTTGTTTTACTCATAAATGTAAACAAAAATATTTACCAATATTCAGGTTGGAAACTCACTCGTTCATTGGTTCCTACCATAAGTTGGCTGGGGATACAAGAGTTCAGCAAAAATCAATGCAAACCTTCTGGGAG